CCACTATGCCTATTTTTATTATTTGTATACAAGGTCTCACTATGTTGCCTAGGCTTGTCTCAAGCTCCTGGGCTCAAGCAGTCCTCCCACCTCAGCCTCCCAAAGTGCTGGGATTATAGGTGTGAGCCACCACACCTGGCTTAAAGTGCCTACCCATACTCTTGAAATTCTGTCTTCAGCTAACTGTGGGGCACAATTAGCAATGCATCTTTATACATTGCCCACAGACCTCTCCCCCCCGCCCCCCAGTGTCATCTTAACTTCACTGGAAGGGGAAGACCAAAGGACATCTAAGCTTGGTGGTGGCTGGACAGGCCACCAAATGGAGTTGAAACACCTTTGTCATTTGTATTTCCCAATCAGTGCCAGATGAATTAAGAAATATTCTTTTCAGAAAGACGAGGGGGGTCAAAATTTTAAAAAGTCCAGAGGTCCACAAGAAAAACCTGTTGGTTTCATGCCTTAGAACCCTGTACGACTGCAGAGATTAGCAGTCAATTGATCTGGGGCTGCCCATCCCAAGGTCAAAGCCAAAGTCATCTTTTAGGACTTGGGACCAGCACCATTGGACATGTTGTAGATCAGAGTTAAAATGTATGACTTTGAGGGTCCTCATTGCTGATCCCAAGGGTAGGTGGGAATCAACTATTCTCTCTTCTGGCCAGCAGGTTGAGGGGCAGGTGCTGAGCAGTGACTATTTCACCCTGCTGGGTCTGATGCTAGAGAAGCGAGTGGAACCCATGGTAGCTCTTGTAACTCATTCCAGGAGAGAGAAGCAATAGGTAAGATCTCCAGAAGAGATCTCTTTCATTCGTGCATTAAAATTCATTCAAATGCCTGTTGCATGCCTACAGTGTGGCGTGCTGAGGCCAGGCTCAGAATGTTACCACATGGATTATCTTGCAAGGTTACCTGTGAGGAGCCATGAGTCAGAGGCTTTCAGTGGGAAGTGGGAGGAGCCAAAATGGTACTCGGTTTGTTTTGAATAGTAAAAGCTGTTTTTCCAGACCACAGGTATTGAAACTAGGAGAGCTGAGGACTAAAGCAGCAATCGCCTTATCTTGTCTAAGCTTCTCAAATTTTAATTTAGAATTGCTTGGGGAACTTGTTAGGAGGCAAATCTTGGCCCTAACCTCAGAGATTCCAACTCAGTCAGTCAGGAAGGGGGTCCACTAATCTAAGGTTTTAAAAACAAGACCCAAGCTGGGAGTGGTGGTGGCTTATGCCTGTAATCCCAGCACTTTAGGAGGCTGAGCCCAAAGGGTTGCTGGAGCCCAGGAATTCTAGACCAGCTTGGGCAACATAGTGAGACCCCCCCCCTCTCAAAATAAAAGAACCAGCATAATTCTCATGGGGGGAGGGGATGAGTTAGCCACTGGGGTTCTAGAAACCTGGGCAGTGGTAGGGTGACTGTGTTTGGGTCTGCAGATCAGAATGACCTGGGAGACTTTGTCAGATAATACACCCTTTCTCCGTTTCATTTGGACCCTTTCTGCCCTGGTGAGACAACTTATGAGAGTATTATTTCTTCCTTCTGTGGTTGAAGCAGAAAAGTTGAGAACCAGCTGCTCTAAATAAGACAATTGAAGACAAAGTTCAGATTGAAGGCTCTCAGAATGCTTTTGTTTTTCTTTGAAATTTTGGGAGAAAGGATCTAAAGAATCAGTGGGCAGGGGCCGGTCCCAACCCTTTTCGAACCTGGCCTGCTCCACCTGTTCCACCTGGGAGGGCCAAGAAGCAGAGCGGCAGAAGCCAGCCCTAGGGGCAGATCTTCCCGCAAACACAGGGGTGTCCCCAAAGGCTGGTGCTCTCTAATCTACCTAGTTGGCTGATCACCTGGGGTAGGGGAGCTTTCTAAAAATAGAGCTTCCTGGGGTGCATCCTAAGAGATTCTGATGAGCAGTCAGGTTCAGGACCCCCCTGCGTGGAGAGCAGTAAAGCGCCAGATGGGCATTGGAGAGCTGCTCTGTTTCCAATGATTCTTGGATTCAGCCCTAATGATCACTCAGCAAGCAAATGATTCCCGGCAGGAAATTGGACCCTTCGTGAAGTGTGTTTCCTCGCTGGATCCCTAAAATTGTAGTCGATAAATGCCGGCTGCATTCTCCAAAGTGTTTTATTTCCCAACCGAGGATGGCCTCCAGCCAGGAACATCAGGTCAAGAAGATTTATCCAAGGTGAAACCTCTACCCTCTTCACCCTCCCCGCCATCCCCATCAGAAATGACACTTTCCACAGCCACTCTGCACTGGGCAGGGCTGTAAGTGGAACTCCTAAAAGTCACTGATGGCCAGATTCCAGAGAGAACACTTCCCAAACAAACTCCACAGCGTAGAGCTTATCTGTATGCAAGAAGTTAGGTGAAAATGGAGGTAGTTTCTTAGATAATAGCCCCAAGAGAAGCCCCCCTCCCCTTTGTGTGTGAAACCATGGTCTTCCCTTGAGTTTTATGATGCTTGAAGCTTCACTGGGTGCTAGGCTCTGTGCCAAGTGGGGATCTGTAAAGGTAACCCAGGTACACTCCCTGCCCTCAGAGTCCACTAGTGAAGGACAAATGTGTAAATGACTGACTATAAGAGCAGCATAACTCCTAGAACAGTCTGTGTCTAGAGTAGACATCTCAGCACTCTCTGTACCCTTGCTTGGTTGCATTTTCTCCGTGGCACTTATCACTCTAGAAATGACTGGCTGAGTACTTGCTTGTGCCTCCAATTCCCTCTTACGCAGTAAGCAATGTGAGGGCAAAGACTAGATCTTTAGCCCGGGGTCCCCAATCCCTGGGCTGCAGGCCAGTTCCAGTCTGTGGCCTGTTAGGAACCAGGCCACACAGCAGGAGGTGAGCGGTAGCTGGAGCTCTGTCTCCTGTCAGGTCAGCAGAGGCATTATATTCTCATAGGAGTGCAAACCCTATTGTGAATTGCACATGCAAGGAATCTAGGTTGCATTCTCCCTGTGGGACTTTAACACCTGATAACATGCCCTCCACCCCGTCTGTGGGAAAATTGTCTTCCACAAAACCGGTCCCTGATACCAAAAAGGTTGGGAACCACTGCCATAGACCCTGACCTCTCCCAGCTGTTAGAAGTGGGTCGCCCAGAAAGGCATGAGAGCAGCTCTCTGCAACTGAACATTCAGAGGCAGCTGCCGGCTAAAGGCTCTCTCCCACACCCTGCCAGAATCTGGGGCAGATGCTTAGGGAGGACCTGGGCAGCAGTAGTGCTTTCAAACCTTAGCAAGCATGAGAATCCCCCAGAAGACTTGTGAAACACAGATTGCTGGGCCCAACCCAGAGTTCCTGATCCAGTAGCAGGTCTAGGATGGAGCCAGAGAATTTCTAACAAGATCCCAGCTGATGCTGATGCAACTGGTCCCACACTTTGAGAACCACAGGGATGGTACATGAGCATGGCCATGACAGTGAAACTAGTAGCTAACTGCAGGCAGGATTCAGTGACAGAGAGGCTTCTTAGCCGCTTAGCCAGTGACCCTGATGAGAGGAGACAGGACTCTGAAACAGGCCCCAGCAGGGAGACTGGAGAACAGAAGGGAACGCATTCCAGACATGTGCAACAGCAGAATATGTGGCCTGGTAGGAGGAAAGGAGGGAGTCAGAGCAGCTGGAAGGATGTAAATGCCATGCACCAAGACGGGCACAGGGTGGGGGAGGGGAATAGCGTGTACCTTTTGGGACCTGCTGATTTGAGGTGCTAAGCAGACCTTCAGATGGACATGTTAAGGAAGCTGTCAGAAACACAATTCAAAATGCAGGAGAGAAATCTGAGCGACAGGTAATCATACTGAGGTCTTCCAGACAGAGGCGTAAGCTGACACTGTGGGGTGAAATAAAATTCATTAAGGGGAGAATGTGGCAATGTGCTCAGGAGACCAAGAGGCTCTCACTCTTGGGGGTGGCCAGAAGAAGAAACAAGTGGAGCAATCTGACACACATGAAAGGATAAGATGTGACCCAGGAAGGTCAGTGCCAGATGTTTGGAGTGTCTCAAAAACTGGGTCAATCAGGAATTTGAGACCAGCCTAGGCAGCATAGCAAGACCTCAGCTCTACAAAAAAAAGAATTAAAAAATCAGCAGGACATGGTGGCACACACCTGTAGTCCTAGCTACATGGGATGTTGAGGTGAAAGAATCACCAGAACCCAGGAGGTCAAGGCTGTGATGAGCCATGATTGTGCCACTGCACTCCAACCTGGGCAACACAGTGAGACCCCAACTTAGAAAAAAAAAGAAAGAAAAGAAAACTGGACTAAACTCTGACGACCTTGAGGACCCCTTGAAAGGACCTACCCAAGAAGTGGAGTTGTGTTTGAGGCATGAGTTAGAGGAGCCGGTCTCCATACTTTGAAGTCAATCCTTTTTGCATTCCTCATTCTACTTGGTGCAATTTTACTTTGCCTCCGTCAGTGCTAGTCACCTTCAGTCTGCATTGGCAGAAGATGTCAGCAAAGAAATGTGCACACTCCATACACATGCATGGGTGTGGTCACCATTCATGACAGAAGGAAGCCAAGGGGAGCACTATGGTGGCTCACGTTGAGGCTTGGGCATCATTTTTTGCCTCTCCAAGCTAAACCCCATGGTAGAAAGACACCATGTATTCATCTTTTTTCCTCTTTATATTTGACACTGATCAGATCCTCCTGGGACCCTGAACCCACTGCTTTTGTAAGGATAAAACAAAGATTCTGACAGTTGGTTTTTTTGGAACTGTTTGAGTAAGAATGCTACAAAGGGACTCCATTTCTATGAACTGAGAGTCCCCAGGTGATAATTTGGTGTTCCAAAGAAGGGCAGTTCGCTTTGTGATTCGTTTGGTCACCTGGGTCTTGCAAACCCTGGTGTTTGAGAACACAGGATGCAGTTGGACATGTCATTGAACAGGGTTGAGGATGGAGCATCACGCAGCGCCTGGCTTCTCCTGCCGCCACCAGCCGGGGCTGCTGCGGGAGCCCACACACACTGACCTGTGCTCTGTCTTTGCAGTTCTGCGCGGAGCTAAACCAGCCAATCCTGCCCAACATCCGCAAGTGGAAGGGGCCCCGGGGATGCTGGAAGGCCATGGTGGCTGAGAAGCCCTCGAGTCAGCTCCAGAAGGTACCTCTATCTGCAAAGCCTGGTGTTTCTCTTCATTTTATTTAAACATACGTTTCCTCTCATCAAGGGCATCTTAAAATTTCCTTTGCCAATATCCTTGATGTGATTTTGTATCTCTGCCCAATTTTCAAGTCTTTGCCATTGATTTAGAATAGCAAAGGTCTCTTTAAATCCCTGCTTCTCGTGTTTAGATCAGGATGGACTCCTACCCAGGTGGAAATGGGAGCTTAGGATGCCAGAAGGAAAGGAGAAATCCTGTCCAGGGCCAAAGCAGCCAATGGGGGTTTCTGTCCTTTGTCCTAATATCCCTCTGCTACAGTTCTGTCCTCTACCAAGTTTGTGAAGAGGCCATTATTCACTGATTGAAAATATCAGATTCACCCTAGTTCATACCTGAAGTACTTGATTTAGTGGTGGAAATTACGCACATAGAAATGTTCTGTTGACATCTTCAGCAGATTTGGACTTTGAATTTTCTTTTTTTTTTTGAATCAGAGTTTCACTCTGTCACCCAGGCTGGAGTACAGTGGCACACTCAACAGCTACCACAGCCTCAACTTGCTGGGCTCAGGTGATCCTTTCGACTCAGCCTTTCGAGTAGCTAGAACTAAGGTGCACGCCACCACACCTGCCTAATTTTTTTATTTATTGTAGAGACGAAGTCTTGCCCAGTTGCCCAGGCTGGTCTCGAACTTCTGGGCTCAGGCAATCCTTTCGCCTCAGCTTCCCAAAGTGCTGGGATTATATGCATGAGCCTATAAGCATGCCCGGCTTGATTTTGAATTTTTTGCATCAGTATTGCCCATCAGGCATAGGTAAATCTCTGCATATATACATGTTCACCCTTACATGTTATATCTAAGACCAGATTTATTCACCTTGGAATGTTTAATATCAGTGGGACCTTAGTTTTTTTTTTTTAAGCCTCCTGATAATTAATCAAGAACTGAAAAATATGACACAATTTTTCTATAATTGCAGGTTTTTTGTCTCTGGTATAGCAAACATGCTTAAAAACACACACAAGTTATACTATGATTGAGATTTATGTTTTGGGCATTTAAAACATAAATGTATGCCCTATTCTCTTTTTAGCTAACTACTGAAAATGGCACATGTAAATCTGATTTCTCTGCGTTTTATGTTTCGGGGTGTGAATAGCTACCACAGCTGACAGTGAGTCAGCACACAGTCCCAGGAGGCTGGAAATAAACTGAATTAGAATGCTTCTAGTCTTCACAACTCTAGCCTTAATCAACATAGAAATAATGATAACAAGGCCACCTTCTTTTTTAATAGCACTTTACATGGATGTAGGTCTCTGAGGGTTCATGAGACTCTCAAAGTTCATTCATTCATTCAATTCATTCAACAAATCATTAAGGAAAGTTACTGTGTACCAGGCACCATGTTCTGTGCCAGACACACATTGGTGGGAAAAACAGACCCAGCAATCCAGCCCTGCATGTTTTTCCTTTTGCAAGACTCAGAGGGGATCCCAACCTGAGCCCGACTTGGCGACTCCCTCAGGGAGCCCACAGCCTGGTAGAGGGACAAGTCAGGTAACCCGACTCCTGGCTAGGGTGTCAAGGCCACTGGAAAACAGCATGAGGTTGTAGAGAGACCGGAGTTCCATCCCTTTAGACCTCTCAGCCTCAATTCCTTCGTCTGTAAAATGGGAGCAGTAGCCCTTCCTTAGCTCACAGGATGGCTACAGAATTTAAAAAGCTAATGTGCGATGGAATGCTTCATTAGCAGAGTGCACACACACACGCACAGAGCACAGGCTGGGGCCTGGTGGGATGTGCAAGAGGCCGTAGGCCAACCAACCTGTGTAGGCCCAAGAGCTCATGCCTGTCTCAGGCTGCAGCTGGCTCCGTGCCTAGCCTGTTGTTACCACGGAGTGTTGTGGGCCCAGCCTGGCCAAATCTCCCCATTTCATTTGTTTTTTTTTTTGAGTTGGAGTCTCACTTTGTCACCCATACTGGAGTACAATGGCACGCTCCTGGCCACCACAGCCTCAACCTGCTGGGCTCAGGTGCTCCTTCCGCCTCAGCCTTCCAAATAGCTGGAACTACAGGCATGTGCCACCACGCCTGACTTTATGGTAGAGATGAGGTCTCACCAAGTTGCCAAGGCTGGTCTCAAACCCATGGGCTCAGGCAGTCCTCTTACCTCAGCCTCCCAAAGTGCTGGAATTATAGGCGTGAGCCACTGTACCCGGCCTAATTTGTTGTTGCTGTTGCCCAGCTGGAGTGCAGTGGCACGCTCACGGCCACTGCAACCTCAACCTGCTGGGCTCAGGCAATCCTTCCACCTCAGCCTTCCAAGTAGCTGGAACTACAGGCGCATGCCACCATGCCCGGCTAATTTTTTTATTTATTGTAGAGAGGAGGTCTGGCCAAGTTGCCCAGGCTGGTCTTGAACTCGTGGGCTCAGGCAATCCTCTCACCTCAGCCTTCCAAAGTGCTAGGATTATAGGAGTGAGCCACTGCGCCTAGCCTTAATTTTTTGATATATTGTAGAGATGAGGTCTCGCCAAGTTGCCTGGGCTGGTCTTGAATCCATGAGCTCAGGCAGTCCTTTGACCTCGACTTCCCAAAGTGCTAGGATTATTTCCCGTTTCATTTTAATGAGAAATTTCCTGAATTTTAAACATGGACAGATTATCAAAAAAAATTTTTAAAATACTATGTGAATCAAACAAAATAAGTCTGCAGATCACGATTGTCCACTCTCTATGCTAGACAAACATGAGGACGTGGTGGCAGCCACTGCCATTTTTCCAGTGCCTGAAATTGTGCCCAGGCACCTTTGATTCAGTTCCCTGTCCTCACACCAAAGCTGAGGGGGGATGGAGGGGCAGCTTACAGCTGTGGAGGTGGAAACCCAGTAATATGAAACAATTTGCCCCAACCATTTGTGATGTGAGGTGATGCTGGACCAGAGCCTGGTTCGCTGTCTCTGACTGGAAGGCCCGTGCTCCTCCCGCTGCTGTCCCAAAGGAGAGGGGAACTGAGAAAGACTCCCAGGAGGGGGAAGTGCTGCCAGGACCGTGTTGTGCAGGTGTAGGAAGCAGTGCTGCAAAGGAGGGTGCAGGCCCCACCACGAAGGACTCTTGCTCTGGGGGCAGTAGGGAACCACTGGAGGTTTTAGACAAAAGATGACTTGAGCGAAGCTTTAAGTAGGTTACTCTGGCACCATCACTTGGGAAACGGCAAACAAGGAGAGAATCTTCCAAAGCCAACAGAGCAATCCTATTTACCTGAGGAAACTAGATTTAGAAAAACCCAGTGGCTCACCTGAGGACTCGTGGCTAAGTGACTCAGGTGGGACTGAAACCTTAAGCCAGTACTCAGGAGATCATTTTATTTTTATTTGATTCATCTATTTATCTATATGCTTATTTATTTTTAGAGGCAGTGTCTTTCTCTGTCACCCAGGCTGGAGTACAGTAGCACGAGTATAACTCGCCACATCCTCAACCTCCTGGGCTCGAGCCAGCCTCCCACCTCAGCCACTCAATAGCTGGGACTACAGGCACACGCCACTGGGCTGGTTTCAAACTTCTGGCCTCCTGCTGCCTCAGCCTCCCCAGAGTGCTGGGATTATAGGCGTAAAAACTCAATTAATGTTGGCTGGATGAGCGGAGGTAAGAGCTGACAGTCCTAATGGTTTGGAACTGGTCAAGGATCCTCCCCAGGTGGGGAGCCACCATGCCTGGCCTAGGAGATAATTTTAAAATATAGAAGTTCACAGCATGCAAAACACTATTTCCCCCCTTCATTCCCTCCCTCCTCTCTCCCTCCCTCCCTCATCTTAAAAACATACATGTTTAGATGAGGGCTTGAGCCCGTTAGGTGTTGAGCTGATGCTGGAGACGTGGCGACAGATGGTCAGAAGCAGTGTATCACTGGCCCCTGGGAGGATGAGCTGATGGCCCCAGGCAACAGGTGCTGAGGCAGTGCACTCAGGCCAGCAGAGCCTCCAAAAGCTGGGGTGGTGAGAGGAGGAGAAGCATGTCTTCTTCCACGAGAAATCCCCAGTGGCAGCAGCATGAAGCAGGCAGATTCAGTGCAGCCTCTCTGATTGCCAGAGCCTGCAGGGGTTTAGCACCAGGCCTGGGACTCTGCCCCATGCCACCCTGTAGCCTGTCTGCCCACCCCCCCCCCAGCCCTCTGGGCCTCTGACCCTGGTGTCAGATCTCTCTGTGTGGCTCTGTCCACCTGGGGAGGATCCTTGACCAGTTCCAAACCATTACGACTGTCAGCTCTTACCTCTGTTCATCCAGCCAATGTTAATTGAGTTTTTGCTAGCTTCCGGGCACCGTATGTTGTAAATTGCAGCTAATTAGTAAGCAAAACTCAACTCTTGGAGTTCCATTTTTTTATTCTCAGCAGTGTCCTCATCTGGCAAATGGGGGTATGAGTGGCTTCCGCATGAGATGTGATGATTCAGATGACTCTGTGCCTGGTTTGGGCTTCCCCCACCTCCCCCACAAAAGAGAAGCAATCACCCAGGTACCCTGGGTGTGTGTGCTCTGGGATTTGCAGTATGTGAAATTATTTTGGAGGGAGGTTAGCTGGGGGACAAGGAAGAGCTCGCTGTGGCTTGGCTTTTGTGATGTGCTTTTGGTTTAGAAACAGTCCCTGTGCAAGTGATCCAGACCCAGAGCAGAGCCCACCGCCTCCCCACAGTCTCTCTGGCCTCTCCTGCCTCCCTTCTGCACTGTGTGGGGCTGCACTGTGTGGCATTGGGACTCTGGCATCAAGACTCTGTCTCCCTCTCCACTGCAGGGGGCCGGGTACTCGGGATTCCTGTGGGACACATCGGCCGGCCTGGAGCTGAGAGACGCCGTCTTGCAGGCGAGCTCACCCAGCAACGGGCACGGGAAGCCTGCAGGCCCCAGCCCATACCTCGCATGGTTCAAGGTACCTGCTCCTCGTTATCTGTGACAGTCCACTTCTTCCTAAAAAGGGACAGAAAGTGTCTATTTGTAAAACCAGGAGTGAGGAAAGCCTCGTCTTTTTGCTTTGGTTTTTGTCTTCAGGGTGGGGTCCACACCTGCTTCTGGGGTGATCTTGGCAGGTGATCTTGTCTGGGCAGGAGTGACAGGGATTTGGGGGGGCTCTCAGCCCTGATAACTCTGATATCTGGGCAGGAGAGGGGGTAAGGAGGGAGATCCAGGCAGCTTCTACACCTGACACATATCAGAATCACCTAGGGAGAGTTTCTTACAATCAAGGATTCCTAGACTCGACTCCAGACATACAGAATTTCTGGGGATGGGACCCTGGACTGTCTGCTTGGTCACAAGTGCCGTCAGTGATTCTTCAGCCCCCTGATTAGCAAAGCTTAGTGTTTGGGAGTGTCTGGGTCCGAGAGCGGCAAAACTGCTCTGAGGAACCCCATTTCCTTGGCTGCCTCTCGGGCCTGATTCCTTTATCACCATGGAGAAGGGGACCATCCAGGGGTCATCCAGGTGTAGGGGAGATTCAGGAGGAGCTTGGGGCAGTGGGCTAGGGGCAGCCCCATCACCAGCATCACCTGCCCACGTGGGAGTCTCTGTCTCACCAGAGTCTGGGAGCAGCTAAGCAAATCATCCAAGGGCCGTCTCTCTCCTTCACTGGTACCCTTGGGAGGTGTTAATGAACCTCAAAATAGTCAGAAGCTGGGCAGCAGGAGGGCAGAGAAGCCAGGGGACAAACAGGTTACCAAGTAGGCAGGCAGTGAACCTGATCCCCAGGGTGCTTAGCTGTAGGATCACAGGTCAGGCAAGCATGGGCCCTTGCCTGGTTCCTTGCTGCAAAGCCCAGCAAGCCCATCCCCTGCCAGACGTGTGAGACCCCCTCCTTTCTGAGTGTCCCAGCACAGTTCTGGAGTCCACGAGTCACTTCCACGCCCAGCATAGTTTATTTCTGACAAGAGATGGGACTAGGGGCAGCCTCTGTGTTAGGGGCTACAAACCCATGCACCACCTCTCACTGCTGCAAGTCGATGGGTGCTCACACACTGAGGTGTCTCTCACACCCTTGTCCATGATGGTATTCTGTCTGCACACATGCACCCAGGGGTGTCTGTGGGTTGTGTACTGATGCCTAAGTCATCCAGGTATCTACTTTAAGCCGCCTGACACCACACTGGGCCCCTTTGTTTTTTTGTTTGTTTGTTTAGTCAAGGTCTCACTCTGTCACCCAGGCTGGAATGCAATAGCACCATCACAGCTCACCGCAACCTCGATCTCCTGGGCTCAGGCGATCCCTCCCACTCAGACTCCTGAATAGCTGGGACTTTAGGCATATGCCACTGCCCAACTAATTAATTTTGTTGTAGAGACGAGGCCTCGCTATGTTGTCTAGGCTGGTCTCCAGCGCCTGGGCTCAAGCTATCCTCCAGCCTCGGCCTCCCAAAGTGTTGGGACTATAGGCACGTGCCACCACGCCTGGCCCTGGGCCCCTTTATTAGATCAAGTAGCTGTTCTGGCTTTGGCCATGCAGGGCTGTCTCCAGAACCAGCCAGTGTCTCTGAAAGGCAGGCTACTTATAACAGGCTAATGAGAAAACACTATTGTGCCATGAGTGATTAGCCCAGATCCTCTAAATAAAGCAGTCCCCTAGACAAGCACTTGGCCTCTTGCACTTCATGTCACATTCTAGTTCAGGCAAGTGGTATGGTCCAGACATGTGGCTTATCTCCTCAGACAGTGTGGACCGCCCACCCCACCACCACCTACCATCCCCCCAACCCACCCC